CTGAGATTTGAGATGTGTGAGCCTCTAGATTGTCTACCACAACATAGGCCTGCGCTTGTAACAGAGAGGGCTCGAATACCAGGGGCACAGCAGTAATCTGCCCCCTGAGGTCCCAAGATATCCAGTGTCAAAAAATACAACTTTATTCTGTCCTGGTGACCAGAGAAACAGACATTCAGTTGGCCTCAACTCTACTAGATCAGTCAGTAACAAACCTGCCTACTTATTCAAAGCATGTGTTTGTCACAGCTAGATGTCAGTGAATAGTAAAACATAACTATAGGTCGCAATATGCTGCTTGCACAAACGACTTATGGGGTTGCTTTTTAATGGCAGGACCGACTCATTATGAAACATCCATTTTTGGGGCTCTAGTTTGACTGCACTAATTGCACTTTGTCATATTTTTTTTTTTTTTATGCTCAAATTGGAAAATGCACAGAAAACGCACTCATAGGTATTTTGTTATTCTTCAAGTTCATTTTTAATTTTGGTTAATTTCTTAACCTGTTGTGTATTTAGTCTGTGTGTGTAAATAAACGCTCTTGCGTGATACACTCCCTTGTACTGAACTGAATGAATCACTCGTTTTCCCTCTTTAACTTTCTGATTCAGGTTCTTTCCTGCGTGACCAGTGAAACCAGTCTGCCCCTGTCTGATCCAGTGCAACAACTGACTGGGTAATGCCTTGCTCGATGCAGGGACCCTGAACGCCTCACTCTGAAAGCTCTTCTTGTTCATTTTCCACACCACCACCACCACCACCACCACTGTGTTTCAAACCTGTGACTCTCCTCAGTGTTCGGAGCTATGAGGGAACTGAATAAGGCTCAACCAACCAGCTGCTGATATTTGGATATTTAAAACCAGAGAAATAATGAAATTTAATTAGAAACACAACAGGTGTTCTGTCTGCATCAGAGCTGACAGCATCAAACCAAAGCATTCAGTGATAAAATATGCAACTGATCTTTATTTATCAGTTTTAATAATATCCACAGGTTATTCTGATTGTCCCCTCAGAGACAGAAAAACTGTGGCAAAAGTAACATGAATGTTCCTAAAACAATAGCAACATTTACACTACTCTCTTTTCTTGGCTTTATCTCATGGATCATGTTCACCCTAAAGGTTCCCAGCTTTGGTCTAAGTTACACAAAAAACACCTTTTGTCTCGGCCTCCCCTGCGGGCCTCACCTCCATCTCCACAGTGCGAGCTTGTCTGAAGTTTCTGTTTGGATTCTGGGAGCGCCATACTTCATAATCTGAGCTCCCATGTTTGTGTTTTTATCTACAACCTGAAAGCCTATTGTTTACAGTGTCACACAGTGAGGATCATGTGAATTCTAACACAGTACAGCACATGATGTTGTTGAGATTAAAGTACCAACTGGAATGCAGTGCTATGTAGTCCCATAATGGCTGCTCTTAATACAGAAACTCATCGCTGTATCAGCTCATTCAGGCAGTTGTATTTTACTCTAGTTTGGAGTACTATTTAGTAAATTCACCTTTAATTGGATTAGAATAAAGATCCTGGAACAGGTAAATCTTCTCTGATTCCCTGTTCAAACTGTGAATTCGTATTTCAGGTAGGCTAAATCAAAATGTAACAGCCAATACTCCTGACAGTAGGAACGAAGAGACAGCATCACCATCCGAGTTATATCCAGCATATTCAGCAACTTCACTGTTGATGCAATTTAGGAATAAAACTTTAATGATCAAACTCTCGGGGAAGCTAACAGCCAGCATCTCCTGAGCTCAGACAACTGCAGTTTCCTCCTTTAGTTTGGTCCATATGAAAATGATGCAATTCGCCAAATAACAGCACACAGACCCCCAAAAGACCCAAAACGCATAGGTAAAAAAGAGAGAGATGCAGTTCGAACACAAAGAGGCCAAACAGAATAAAATGGTTTGAACTCAGCAGTTTTTATCTATTTGTCTGTGACTTGCAGAGTTCAGACACGTCCCTACTAAAGTTGCAGAAAGCAGAATATGATTAATTCTGAGTAGAAGCTGCTGAACCGAAATAAACCAACTTTAAAAATTGAGCAACATAAGAGGCGACAGATTATTCAGGATTTTTTTTCTGCTACTTTACAGTTTTTGTTCTTGACACATACAGTCGTCTAACGCATTAAAAGGACGACTCACACGGGGAACTGAAGAAATGACTCAGCAGCTTTGAGTGATTATCTTGCAAATCCTCCTGAAAATGAATTAACATTGTTATCATTAACATGAGTCAGTCACCCCCCAGAACCGGAATCAGTTTGGCCCACAGACGGATGACCGCGTTAGCAGCGGTGAGAGAAAAATCCTTTAACAAATTCAAAAAAAGATGCACTAATCAATATTTTTACATTAAAAATGGATCAAATGATTACATTTAATATGAAAGAGGTCACTCATAGAGAATATCACCCAACTCTGCAGTTCCTCCACAGCTCTACAAAGCACTATACTGTCTTTCAGCTCATTGTTTTAGTTTTACAACCTGAAACTTTCGACCGCGTCCACACTAATATGTTTTCATTTTAAAACTAAAACTATTTCTGTCCGTATCACGTGACCATTCACATGCACTTGGCATGCTCGTGCCGCTGTAAACAGGAAACAGATTATCTAATCTGAGGTTGGTAACAGAAAAAACTACCAACGAGGAACAGCAAACGGAAGTTGTAGCATTAAAATGCAGAAATTAACTGCACAAAGGCTGCTAGCAGAGACAACAAGGTCACTAACGCTTGTAATTCGTCATCCATGATTTTTTCACCACTGGTAGTCAATGCTGATAAGACCCGATCAGTGATTGACTGTGGGTGTCTACGTCATCGCTTCCAAAAGTCCAAGTTTCTGTCCGTCCAGACTAAAGCACAATCTGCAGTTTTAAAATAAAACAGGTCCAGCGGAGCTCCCAAAAGTCTCCGTTTTAGGGGCTTGAAGACTCGTGTGGACGCCAGGAGTAAACATAGAAAAATGATGCTAACTAAAACAGACTAGTGTGGATGTAACCTTAATGTTTTGATTCATTCTCATCCACTTTATCTCAAGCAGCAGCAGCAGCTGTTTTTAGCAACAACAACAACAACAACAACAAAAAAAAAAATCAGCAAAAACCATCTGTACATGACCTGCCCAGCACCGAACAGCTGTTCATGTGTGAGTGCTGGATAGGCAACTGTTAGCTAACACCTTCAGAATATCAACTTGATAAGGTGATAATATGTCTGTGTTGTGTTTATAGTTTGTTGCGTTTCCCCAAAGTTTCCAAATAGTCAATTGAATACTATTCTCTATTTCTCTGTACTCTATTTAAAATCACTATAATATGGCTTAATATATAGTCAACAACAAATACAGTGCCCATATTTTCACATTGAAAAGTGACAGCTGTATTTTGTAACACTACAGTTGGAGAATAATTTGTGTTTACAGCAGGAAAGTGGGGAGTTAAATGTGAAACAGCTTCAGTATAAGGCTGTGGTACTGTTAGTCTACTATTATATTCCCATAACAGAGATACACTCTACTCTGCTTTCACCTCCTTAATTAGACTCCATCAGTTGACTAATTATTTTTCATATTTTTACTTTATCTAACTCCCACTGCTGGTGTCTTTTGTTCTGACATTTCCTCTTTACATTCGCTAAGTCACTGTCACCATATGCACAGGCTCCACTGTGACCCTTTTAAATTAATCCCATGGATTGAGCTCAAATGACCCAGATTGAGTTTGTGTGATGCCAGCAGCTTTGTGCACACAAACATTTAGGAGAACGACTGCGTCTGAATCCAGATGTATCAGATGTAGTCTCTCCCACAGAAAAAAAAATCAATCTTCAAATATTGTCATCTACATTTCAACCGCTTTCAAGTCAGTGTTTTTATGTAGCCCAACATCTCAAATCACAAAGCGTTCGTCTTTTACCATTTAAATGACAATTCAACTGCGTTTACGGTTTAAACATTAAGTCACATTTCAACTGCTTTCAGCACTTTCACTTCAGCTGGTGCCTCGGCTTCCCTCACTGCTCACACTTGACATTTCAATTTCATTCAGTGTGAACGAATCGATCGCTGCTATTTGAAATAACTTAACCGCAAAATTTCTGCAGCAAGTACATGGGAATCTTCTTCTGAAAATGTTGCAAATAGAGATGAAACTTAGTCAATTAGTCAATTAACAGAAAAAAAACAACTATTTTAATCACCACTTCAACTGCTTATATATTTTACACTTAAACTGACGTTTAACCACTTTAATTTCTCACACTTTAAGTAACAGTTCAGCTACTTTCGGTGGTGACACATCCACTAACATTTCAGCTGTGTTCAGTACTTTGGTTTTCATCCTTTTCAGCGCTGCAGTTACAATGGAAATTCACCTTCTTTCAGCTCTGTCATTTCAACACACAAAATAATATTTTATTTCCTCTTCTGAGAATCACATCTTGAGTTTTTAGAGCTGAAACGGTTGATTTCTAGTAGACAGAAGATTTTTCTTTAATTATTTTAACCAACAATTGTTTTCATATTTTACACTTCGACTGCTTTCCTCTTTCACTCTTTAAATAACAAAGTATCTGCTTTCAGGCTTAAAGTTGAACTGAATCATCTTCGTGTTAGTAGTAGCAGTATTCAGAATAGTATGATTAATACTTTTTCTTTCTTCCTCTGTTTGAGTTTCAGATCCTACTTCAGTTGACATTTGAAACCCTTTCATTTCTCTTTCCTCTTAAAATAACATTTCAACTCCGTTCAGTGCTTCCAGTTCAACTGATCATTACTAGTGTCAGTACTAGTATTCATTCAAATGAAAATATTTCCAGCTTCTTAATTGTGATCATTTGTTGCTTTTGTCTTGTGTGATTATTTATTAAATATTTTTGCATTCTACAAAATTGTGATGTTCAGCTTTGCAATTTTCTGAAGATTTAAATACCAAAGGAATAGCTGAGTGAGATCACTGGTTGGTTTTCAGTCCTCGTGTTTCCTGCTGCTGTAACAGCATTATCAGATGAATGGCAACGGTTTCATTGCCTGCGTGGGACACACTGTGGAGGGGAAGTACTACAGTACCCAGCAGCAGGGTGGAGGATCAGGGCTGTAACGAGTAACGTCGACTGGAGGACTGGGTCAATCCTCCGGAGCTGCTCGGGGTCTAAAATAGAAACGGAGGCAGCGCCGCCCTCTGCAGCCGAAGCAGCTCCACGTCAGGCAGCGGCTCGCTCAGGAAATTTAAACACAGCCGGCCACGACGCGGACACACACGGGCATCTCTCTGTTCCAAGGTCACCGAGCCCGGCAGCCTGCACCGGACACACACACGCGCACACATACCTTCATCCCGCAAAGGTAAAGTAACATTTACTGCCTGTTTATTGGTGATCGGCAGGATTAACCGAGCTTTCGGCGTGCAGAGATGAGCATGTGCTGCGATGAATGAGAAACATATCAGGACCGAGGCTGAGAGAGGATGTTTGAATTCATTTCATGAGGCGTTCAGGAGCCTGTGGACAGAGGTGGAAATCCCTGCCCTCAGCTGCCATGCGGCCAGTTCGTGGAGGAAAGTCAGTTGGATAAAATTTATAATGTTAAAAACAAACTCCTCTGACTGTGAGCGGCCGGTTTAGCTCATGTAGGCCCTGGGCATTAAGACTGGCTTCATCCGGTCGCTGTCCTTACATCAGCAGCATCATATGATTAGGCTGCAGTGCTGAGGAATCACTCTGTTGTTGCATCACCCTTTCAGCTCTAGTTTTCCTAATGGAGGTCCAAGTTTTAAAGGTTTTCTCAGACTGGCACGTCACATTGAGTCTATTATTACCCAACTGATGTGATGAGGAGTTTTTTTCCTAAGCAGACTTGGCATAAGCTGAAGATATCTGACTCCTGGTCAGCTGGTGAGCTGTAAAAATAACTTCACATGGCACATTGTGCTGGTTTCCTCTGGGAAGAGTAACGCTGCTGTTCTTCAAGTCAGCTGAACAATTAGACACCAGTCATACCTGTTATCAGGCTGTCAACCAGATACTGAAAGTGAAGTAAACCATGAGTTTACACTGGCATGCCCAACTGGTTTGCTGCAGTATGGCATCACAAAACTTAATTCATTTTCACTTCAGAGCACCCACTGTGGCCAAAATAAAAACAACAACAAGATAATAGTAAACATAAAAGTAGAAGGCTTTATTTCTCCTCTGACAGTCAGGTACAAGAAGTGGGATAAAAGCTTATCTTTGCTACGTTTAGCTTAGCATGAGACTGGAATCTGGGAAACAGCTAGCCTTGTGTCCAAAGGTAACACTTTCACCTGCCAGCACCTCACAAATTGAAGCTCAAATAAAACTCTCAGATTAACATGTTATATCTCCTTTGTTTAATCTGTACACAAACTGAAGTATAAAACTGACACATAGTGGTTTTATGTGTCAGGCTATGGCTTGGCCTGATGAGGTCAAGTCCTGGAGCTAAACTAACAGGCTGCGGCTAGTTTTATTATTTACAGCCATGAGGGTTGAATCAATTTTTTTGTCTAACTCAAAAAAAAAAGAAAAAAAAGAGTTGGCATATTTCCCAATGGCAGACTTGATACTACAGGATGAAAGAGTGCATCCTTGTTGTTGAGGACCCTCTTTGAAACTACAGGAAAAACAGGAAGAGCAGTGTCCTTTGGCTGTTTGAACGGTTGAACTGTGATGCCCTCTGCTCATTTTGACCTCCAGTCTTTCAGTTCGTGCCTCTTGGGGAGGTGGTCTGCATTTGTTCCTGTTTTGTTTCAATCTTGTATTTCTTGTTTCACGCTGTAGGTAACCTGACCATGTCCACACTGCTTATTTCACTTCAGAGCAACCACATCCTTCATATCCTTCAAACACACTTGTGTCATTCTGGTGTGAATGGTTCACACTTTTGCTATGATATGATTTATTGTTGTTAAGGTTGCTCTCAGACACATGTATGACTCTGTTGTGCTCCAGTCTACCTTGTGGATACACGTCAGAGGGTGTTTCTTTAGGTTTGGATCAGATTTCATGACCAGGACCTCTTTCCATGTTCCATCAGGGAAGTTTGTTGTGGACACAAGTCTGCTGTGTGCAAACAACACCGCCTGATACAGGACAGGGATCCAGACGGAGAACACATCACTATCACACACATCCAAATCAGTTGTTATTCCTCATTTTAATTACCATAATGAATGGAGTCCAAGCTTGAAAACTTTGTGCTCTGTTTTCTCTGGAAGAATAGTGCCCTCTTCCTATTCTGTAAATATGTTTGCAACAGATCTCCCTCCAAATTTGACCTCATGTCTAACAAGGTGAATAGATATGATAATTATATACTGAGGCTGATAGAAGCTGACACCCATGAGAACATTCATAAATCTGTCAAGCTATAAATCATAATATTAAGAATCAAAGTCAAATGTCATTCATTTGTCATTCATGCGCTGGTTTTATGACCTACAGCTGGATTTGTGCCACTTTTTTTGGCATTCAGCACAATCTGAATACCCTCTCCGGTGCTGGATGTTTATTTAATTTTGAAGCACATACCTATGGTTTCGCCTGAAGTCATAACAGCCACAGAGTCAACATGCACAAACACAAGATGTAAAAAGATCCCGCGTCTTTGACCTTCACGATGTGTTCGGAGGCGTGTAGCAGAGCTTGAGCTTCGGATTGGGTGTTGAATGTGGGTGTTGGCGGCCCACATGGAAAAGTGAAGTGGATGTGTCCACACAGGTGTGTAGCTGTGTGTAAATGACGGGTTGATTTATCCTTTCATTTCATGCTGTAATGATCCAAATGAACACAACTGATCCAGAGACCACAGTCAGGAGAAGTATATCGTGGAGGTTTTCCATCCAGTTTTAGTGGTCAGAGGTGTGTTGATGGAAATTTATGGGACCACTAATAGGTTTTTTAATCAAGGCTCATTCCCAGGAATTCCCAGCTCAAAGACTTCAAACTATATGGGCTGACAATTAAGTAGAAAGGGTATTAGAGTCCTGGGACATTTTATGGGAAGACCCCCTGCTCGGTGGCCCTTTTGATCAGAAAGCAGCTCTTAGAGGGAGCCATTGTTCCTGTCGTATTTCACTCAAGACCAAGAGCAGGAGTGTTTACAGGATCGCTGTGGTGAGATTAGATGTCCTGTTGATAAAGAATGTCTGATTGAGTTAATGATGAACTATTCCTAAAACAAAGTGAGTTGTGTTACTTAGAGGTTACCTTAGCGATAATCTTGGGTTGCCATAACCTCCCAAAGTCCCATGAGTCCAAGGTGGGGTAGGGTTAGGGGGGCTAACTATAGAGGTCAAGTTTCCTTTTGTAGAGCTTGACAGGGCTAAACAGCACCAGTTTATTTGATTGACATTTAACTGGCACTATTGAATATTTCTGCTGTTCAAGGTCTCAATAGATAGCTCCGTCAGGCTCTTGGCGCGAGGTTTCAGGACATGAGACGTAAAGAAAAGCAACTGAATATGCTTGCTGTTTAATGTGAAGGCAGCTTTTGTGCTCGACAAACGTTGAAATCATTGAGCTGTAAACCAACCATTAGCTCAAAGCTACGTTCAACAATCTCGATGCATAAACTGACTCTTGTACAAAATCTGACTGACTGACTCAAACCTGAAGAGAAAGAGAAGCAGATCCAGCCGTCACATTGGAGAGGTTAGTGTGAAATATCTGTTCAATAATTTAGTATGGCCCCTGAAGAATGGCCCTTGATGTGAAAATGGTTCCTCACCCCTGCTTTAATCAGTGGGGAGTAATTCTTCTTCTTTGTCTGAGTGTAACCGTTGCTGTTCTTTTCTTCCTGCTGTAATGGGCTGACTCCATAATACAAAACTAGTCATCCTTCCATTAAAGGAATTTATAATGAAACATCATCTAAAAATAATGCTTGAATTAAACAGATATGAAGGCTTAAAGCTGCACCAGTCAATATTTTCACAATAAAGGTGGACCAGATGACTGTGTAATGTAGTAATGGGTCGATTGTAGTGATGAACCCTCAGAGAATCTGCAGTTCATGGTGCATTTTAACATTTTACAGCGAATCGTTTTGATTTTGAGCCACAACTTTTACTGTTTTGGTTGAGTCTCATGGCTCTCATTAGTTTTGGTTCCAGACGCAGGCAGCTGTTTTTAAACCCACTCTACACTTTCTCACCCAAAAGACAGAGTTGGTGACTAGCTGGTGAATGTAGTGTAGCGTTTAGCTGCACTGTGAGATCCAAATATTTCCCTCAGGAAGTGCAGAACAAACGGAGCTAAAAGGAAAGTAATATAAAATATTGGACTCAAAGCTCTGAATCAATGCTAATGTTGCTCCGTGTAAATAGACAAGTGCTTGCTAACAAGTTTGCCAATGTCAATAATACAGGATGATATGTCAGTGTTGTGTTCAGAGCTTGTTGCGCTACCCACAAGTAGGTCAATAGGCCACATTATATATCACACGAGAAATAATAAAATGACAGTGGCTGGATTGTGTCAGTTCAAGAGATTTGATGCAGGGGGATAACATAAAAGCTTATCCTGATGATATAACACACATCTTTTTGAGTTGACACTGTTAGTGTGTGGGCCTACAAGGAAAACAGCCTTAGTGGTGCTGCTGGTGTGTGGTGGTCTTTAGTCGCTGCTTGTCCCTCCTCCAGGCTCCAGGACCTGCCAACATGGTCTCAAAGTCAAATCCAAGCTTCCAATCCAAGAGTTGTGTTTTTGCCTCTAGCCTCTCACCTTGAGAGCCACACCCATCTACACCTGCTTCACTGAAGCTCACCTGAAATCCAACACTGGGGTCTCAACTTGGTCCCTTTTTTGAATTAAACCTGAGATCCTCTGTCTGTCCATGCTACAAAGAATGCAGTCTTTTAGGCTTCCTGCCAAGCTACAAAGTGATGTCCTTGGAGGACACGCACACACATACTTTCTGGGAGTCAAGTACTGAGTAATTTAGTCTGATGAGCTTTTGCCAGTTGGATGATGTTATTTTTTGGTTCTTGTTCTCCTGTCCTCCTCTTGCTGCTCACTCACTCTGCTCTGTTGTTGGGATAGATTCACCAAGGTGAAGGCAACTGGTCATTTCAAGTACATGCAGAGGACACTGGACCAAAACAAAGTGTTCCCAGCCCAACAACACATAAGGGTGTGCGTGTGTGTGTGTGTGTGTGTGTGTGTGTGCGTGCGTGCGTCCGTGCATCCGTGGTTCATGTATTTTTAACTGCGGTTCTTGTCTACCTTCAGTTTTCCCAGCCTCCTAACTGTGAGGATTCTTTGCTGTGCTTCATTTAGCAAAAACTTTGTTGGTTTAGAATTTGAGGCTTGACTTTGTATTCTGGTGACTTGTGGGTTCTGGTCATTGTTTTTGACACTTTAAATGAGCTATATGTAAGTTTTAGCTATTGCTACATAGCTGTTAGCGTTTACTTGCAGAAAAAAAGTGAGCACCAAACTAGATGGGAGAGACGAGAGGAACTGTCTCCAGTGGTGGAAAGCAACCCTCTTCTTTTGCTTCTACTCCTTTTTTTTTTCTACTGAAGTTAGCGTGCTAACCAGCTAACCCCAGTCTGGCCGGCCTGCTTCATCACTTTCTGAAAGCGAGTCACTGTAGCCTCCAGTAAGGCTGCTCAGAGGCTCAGATTATAACCTCTTGTCTTGTAAACGCAACAATGGCTGAAGCTCTTGGCGAACAGTAATCACCACCACCCGCTCCCGGAAAGAAACCCCGTTCGGTGGTAGAGAAAACTTGCATATAGCACCTTTTTATATTGAATTGATCAAATGAATTAATGGCAAAGTGATATGGCGCTATGGATGGGAATGTCTGTTCATTTAATCCACCTCTTTGGTTCAGACTGAAATATCTGTAGAACTATAGAACTTTAGAAACCAGAACTTCCAGTTTCCAATTACCTATACTGAAACCGCTGCTGCTGCTCTGCTATTGTGCTACCATCACTATATAGATGCTGTACAGAGATAAGATGGAAAAACAGAGTCAAGGCATAACATCTTTAATCACATTTTATAATGATAATGGTAAGTAGGCCCTTAGTAATTATGGTAGGAAGTGATGCAGAGATACCCACCAGGGCTGCTGGTATTTCCAGGCACCTTGGTGTCTCCATAGTTCAGTTGACTTGGTTCTTAACTAGGTTTTTATAAACCTGCCGACCGTGAATGCAGCCTGTCAGTCATTAGTCTATTAGCTGTTCTTAGTGGCGTCAGGTGAAGGACACAGCAGAGGTTGCACATGATGAGGATGTCGGCTTTGAATCCAAGTGTTGACATTGTAGTGACTGAGTGGTGACTTTGCTTTGCTTTGACGTCTTATGTACTTATATTGGTTGATCATAAATTTGTCACACTTGTCTGAATCTTTCCCTCCACCCCACAGCTGCTCTTTTTATGGTCAGTCTTTTTGGAGCTTCCTATTCCAACCCATCAATTTAAGCTGCTTATGAGTTCCGAGGCTCCTTCGTGTATTGTCGTCACGTTCAATCAATCAAAACCAGTATCTCCACCGAGTGCCGCTGCGGACAGCCTGTAATCTGATTAGTATAGATTAGACCCACTGTATAGAACTCTGGAAAAAAAAAAAGGCATAATCTCTAACTTTGATTAAAGGGGCAATGCATGGGTGATACACAGAGGATTATATTTCTACTCAGCAGGCTGGTTTTAGCAATTAGATATGTTTTGTTCAATCCAGCTCAGTGTTCCAAAGCTGCAGTACTATAATGTATAGGTCACCACCATTACAAGATAGACCCGGGACCCAAACAAATGCATGTTCCTCTTGCTGTTATTCCAAAAAATCAACTTTAGTCATTCATATTTTATTCATCATTGTGTTTATTGTTTCAAATTTTTGTCTTATTTTGAAAAAAACATTTTTGTAATGTGAAAGGGGTCACTTGTAGTGACCTTCACACAGAATTATCACCCACCTCTGCAGTTCAGCATTTAGCTGCTGAAAGCCAGATATTTCCTTCAGGAATTGTTGGAGACTAAAACAGACTTACATTTACACTTACATTTGTCAGGCAGCCTCAAACATAAATGAATACTATGTTCCTTTGTGTCTGCTAAATGTATAAATAGACAATTGTTTGCTAACAATTATGCCATAATAACTTTACAAGATGATACCATGTCAGTGTTGTGTTTACAGCTTGTTCTTCTTTCCCCCAAGTGGCCAAAGAATAAATCAGCACTGGTTTAAATAGTCAAGTCAAAGCCAACTTCAGTAGAATATTCATATGTAATTTCATTCATTTAAAATAAAAATAATCCATGGTATACTATTTAGGCAATAGAATACCGATTGCTTTGTAAGTTTAAAGACGACTAAGCAACATATAAATATATAGAACACTATATAAAACTATTAAAAAGCAATCAGAATCATAAATGAAATATGATATTTAATCATCTGAATGCAAATATGTGATGAATTATTTTTTATAGTTATTGTTTGTAATTATTTTGGCACTCTCGGGCCTCCGCTCAGGCCTTTTCCTCTACTGCTAAAAAACTTCAAAGCACATCTATTTATGTTTTTAACTAATAATTTCCTGTTGACACTCGTGAGACTCATGTGTGACTCTCTACAACACATTGCAATATGATCTTGCGAGAGTGGCAACAAGAAAAGAGAACTTCATCATTTATTCAATATTGGTCGCTGATGTTCACGGGTCATTGACGGACAATCTGCGGACTGAAGTGTGCTCTCCACTTGTGAACGCCATGTTTATCTTACATTAGGCCTGCAGCTGTAAAACGTAGCTTTTACACCAGATTCCATTCCACTGGAAATAGAGTCGCTATAATACATTGGTAAATAAACCTAAACTATTAATAGGGATGTTTGCCTAGGAGATAAAGCCCAGGGTGATTAGTGTTTAAGTATAAACCAATGATATTATGAATTTTTTGGGGGATTTATTTATTTTATTATTTATTTTTTAGGTTTGAGTAGGGGTGTTGTTTGTGTATTCTGTGGTGGGATAATGTTGTAGACAAGGCTGACCAGAGACTTGTTGGAACAGATGAATGGCAAAGGGGTGAGGTATGTATGTCTGCAGGTGATAGTGCCTAGAAAAGAGTCTGGTGTGAGCATTTAACTGCCATGGGGAAGATGTTATCAGTGGGAGTGGTACCTACCAGAAGAGTAAAAGAAGTTAATATTTACCAGTGGGGAACAAGAAACTCCCTCCACAGCAGACATCACACTGTATTTATTGCGTAATCATGAGGAGTAAACTGACCTTGATGTGAAAATGAGCTGCTGCAATCACTGGTGTCAATTATTTCAAACCCACATCGAGTAAACCACGTCTAGCTTTGTTAATCACAAATAATTGCTCACTTTGTGATGCAGCACAACAAACATGAGGAGACATGTTGATTCTTCCACAGGCTGTTCATTTATGTGAAACCGTCATCTCAGTGTGAACTATCAGATAATTATACAGCTGTAAATTGTTCATGGTTGATTTTAGAGGTGAAGCTAATGAGGTTAGACAGAGCTAAAACATAACAGCTGCCCTTTTTGCTCTATGATGTGTCCATGAATATGTGTGTCTGTGTGTGTGTGTGTCAGTCACAGTGAGGTGTGGCTGTGGACAATTGCCACTGTTGGTTTGTCACAGGTAATTAGGGTGTGTTTGCTATGTACACAGCAGCACCTGATTCTGAACGGCCTCTATGTTTCTATCAGTTGACGCCTTGTTTCCATTACTTCCTGAGGGCTTTGCGGGGGGGGGGGGCTGCTCAAGGTGAATACTGGGCGGTTCAGGTATAGTCTTGAGTGACTGCACGCCCTCTGGAACAGATGATTACTACTGCGTGTGTGAGTGAGTGAGCGTTTGCACACGTCATCTCCAGGATACAGACCGCTTGTATGTCCTTCTCCCTCTCAGTTTTTCATGTAAACGTCATATGAAGGACAAAGCTTCTGACCTCCTTTGTAATCCAACAGCCATCTGTATACTGTCAATATGAACTGCTGCTACTGGTCATCTGATTTATCTCTATATTGTAAGTAATGATCTGTGACATTTTCATGTAAGCAACTGGTCAGGTTCAGGTTAATTTATTTCTAACCCTTAAGTCCCTAAAGACTTTAGAGAATTGAGAAAGCCTCTGCCTAGATCTGACTAATCGATAATCAATCACAGAACAAAATGAAGTCATGCATTATGTAAGAAATAAAACACAAGGAGGGAAAACAGCAGTTTTAGGTTTTCCATGCTGCAATTTTTAATGTCCTCTCTGTCCTTTTCTTGTCTGTCGTTGCAGTGAGTAGTTTGCGTTGAGCTGGGCCAGTGATGCCGCCCCCAGGCACAGGTGCCCCCACTGTGCCCCCACCGGACGGCGGTTGGGGGTGGGCTGTGGTGTTGGGATCTTTCATCTCCATAGGCTTCTCGTACGCCTTCCCCAAGGCCATCACGGTTTTCTTCAAAGACATCCAGATCATCTTCAATGCCTCCTACAGTCAGATCGCATGGATCTCCTCCATCATGCTCGCAGTCATGTATGCTGCAGGTGAGTCATCGGTCAAGGTCAAAATTTTTCCATAAGGCTATGAACTATGATAATTTTGTTTTTAAATATTCTCCCATTTTATAAAGAACACAAGCATGTTTGGACATATTTGTGAAAACAGTGTCTCACACCTTCAAGCCTATGTCAGCAGATGACTGACATGGGAGAACTAACAATGCTAGTAGATGTGCTGTCAACTTCTGTGGTGCGCTGCTGACTGAACCATATGAAAATGTAGTTTATCACCATTCATAAAATGTATTTTTTTCCTTTTGCAACAAGCCAATGTAGCATTTTAGCCATCAGTGACTGAAGCTATCGGTCCCTTCACATTCAACATTGAGCTAGCAAGCTAGGCTAACTAGCTTCCACTCTTTGTGCTAAGTGGGACCTAATTAGCCTAGCTTGCTAGCCTAAAAATGGATTCCCACTGGATATTAGCCTATTTTTTGTTCATTAAATTTTAACACAAAAGTGTTAAAGGGACAATCTCCTTTACACTCGTTGTGTAACACCACAAAGAAGGGTGGCTAGCTAGCTGTTAGCTGTCTCTCTTTCATGGCTCCAGTTATAGTGATGGAAAATGACCACACTGCCAAAACACAGAGTAATGAGCGACCCTGTAGCCTCAGCACTTAGATTCTACTACGTATTGAGTCACTGGGTAACGTGCAGAGAGTTAAAATCACAGACGGGGCTGTTGGCAACAGCTAACAGTGTCTATGCCCCAGCTGGTTAACCTCCTGTGGGCCTGTTGCAATTTAAGTGATACTCTAAACTAATTTTAGTCCACAGGGATAAGGCAGCAATCACATAACCTGTAGCAACACTGTCAGCTAGTTGCCCCTGGAGCACACTAAAAGATATATAGATATACTATACAGCAGAAAAGAAATCCAAATCTCAGTTTTTACCAAACAAGCTTCTGGTTTTTATTTCAGTCCACTCCTCAAACAGGAAGTGACTCATCAAAATTCAACCAGTTTCCTCAAAAGTATGAGGTTAGCTTATGGAGCATTTATTATAATAACAGTTATGATATTTCTAACCTCAATATGACTAAGGAAATGAATTCTTGTCCTCTGTTTTAACGATCACCCTCCAAATCACAGTGTTAGGCTATTTTTAAAGGAATCTCTTTAAGATTTCATTTATTACCCGTCGTCGTTGTTAAGGATTACATTTGTTTTAGGGGGGGAGATGTGTTCTTTCCTGGGAACGTTTTTTTTTTGTGCCTTAAGATACAGAGGCCAATAACAGCACAGAGATAGAAGTAGGTTGTGTCCTCAGATCATGACCTGAATCTGAAACCATAGTGTCACAGGATGCAGGCACAGTGTCACATGCTGGGCCTCCAGGAAACCAGAACTACATGAACAAATGACAATTCATTTGACTATGAAGGCTTCATTGACAGGCATATGATATAGATGTTGATTTTGGATAATAATTTACTAGGAGTCTGTGGATTTTGCAACGATAACAGGTGGTGTGGCACAGGGCTTTAGTTCAGCATCTATTATAAAAACATTCAGCATGCAAACTAGCAGAAAATGTGTATATCACATGTTTCTAAGGAGATTGAAGCTGAATTTTCCACACATTAAAAATCGAGCTGAGTCACTAATCACATTCAGACCAAAGGCAAATATTTTCTCATGTGAAATACTGACTAAGCTGGTCCTTAGTTGTTTCTTGAATAAGGAACCTTTTGAAGGGTCAGAATATGTTTTCAGCAGGTCGTGTTCTCCACCATATTGCTCCAGTCACCTGCTGTGTTCCTCACTTTGGCTTGGGCCCTGTACCCTTCTGCTTGGCAGTGCCACGGTTGCCATCTGTCCACGCTGTAATCCTCCTGTCACTCGATCTACTGCTGCTGTCACCATCTGCACTGCTCGTCAGCCGGCCTGGAGAGCTCCTCTCCTCCTTTGTATATCAGAGAGTCCACCAAGAATTTAGCATTTAAATGCCTATTTTCTTCTAACTATAAATACTCAAGAATTGAATAGGAACATGTGGCACAAGCTGAGGTAAAACGCTGACTCATATTCTAAAGAATTATAATTATGTTTTGTGATGAGGGCAGTCAGAAATAATTGGAATTTCTATATGAAGTGCTGGTAAATTAAGTTAATTTACCACTTTCTGAGACTCATCTGAGACTCAGAGACATCCTCTGTTGCACCTGACACTGTTCCATTACCTGTACTAGAGTTTTGCAGGTTATCGACAAGTCATTTCAGCTCTAGTCTCTGCTGTTTTATGGTTCACTGTACCTGCTTTTATACAGTAAAACACCACTGAAAAGGGAAATGATTTTCCCTGAATATTAGTTTGACAAACATGATGTATATTCTGTTTGTGGGGGAGAAAATGTGTCTCTGCCTCATCAGAGGACTTCACTTATGACCAGCTGCCGCTGTAGCTTTACAGTGACTGTGTCATTATCACGTGGTGATGGTGACGGTGTGTGCAGTTGTTAGTCATTCATTCATATTGATCGCACTCATCAGCCATTCATTAAACACCTGCTCTCTTTTTCTGTCTCTTATGCTGATGAAGAAATCACTATCTGAATGTTTAGTAATGCTTACTAATTCTAATTGTGTGTGTGTGTGTGTGTGTGTGTGTGTGTGTGTGTGTGTGTGTGTGTGTGTGTGTGTGTGTGTGTGTGTGTGTGTGCGCGCATGTGTGTGTGTTTACACAGCTCTGTCATTACTGCCTGATAACGAGCAATGGCTTCAGACAGACAGGAAAATAATAACCCAGTCAATCCAAATTACACAAATCCTTTTTAACTTTCCAACATCATCCATCTCAAACCCCGGTGTCTGCAACCTGCCAACCAGCTTCTTTTTAGAGTATCATTAGCCAGAAGTTAAGGAGTGTGTCATCCCTCAGTTTAAGAGATGACATAAAAAATGATCTAAAACAGAGACGCAACGTCAATGGATGACGGGAACTTTATCTGTTGTAGAAGACGCAATATTCAATCAGATTCCAGACTGAACGATCAATAATCATTTTAGTGCTTCATCAAGTAGTAAAAGTGCCACACCTGTGCTTGTTAGAGCCTCATTAATGTACTGTGTATTCTAGCAGCATGGCTGTAGTGATGGGAGTGTTGAAGCACCACTTTGGTGCAGACTTAAATATCCTGGTTTAAAGTTTTGTTCAGTTATTGATTTTTGTCACTTTGTCCCACACTTTAGTTCAAGGTCTGCGAAATCAATGACAGCTGTACTTTGTCTTTGGTGCTGATACGTTTACAGTAGAGTTTTCTTTGCTGATATGTACAATATATCATAAATAATCAGTTCATAAAAATATGGATAGATGAATCAATAATGAACTGCTAATCTGTTGTGTTTGTTTAGTTTGTGTCTTGAGCCAACACAGCTGCTCAGTTTTGATGTAGGACCATAAGAGGCAATGTTCTGTGAGACCTTATCAGCTTCACCTTATCAACAGTATAATATAGTGTTTTCACAGCCTGTGAGATCTGTGAGACTGTAACTGAACTAACCAACCAGACTCCAAAACTAATTTAAAACGACATCACTCACTGTACATTTATGTCTGACTACCTGTTGGAGAACAATGTTATCTGCAAACCTGCACATGTTCCCACCAATGAGATATGACAACCTTATCCCCTCTGAAGATTTACATAGTCAGATGACTCAGCAGCCATGCAAATCAACTGGCTAACAACGGGCCTTCCAACAAACAACCTTTTTAGGGATAAAGAGAAGAAGAAATGTTTAAAATCCATGCTAAGCGTATTTCTTTATTATATAGCCTAATATATTTTAAAGCACGATTAGTATTGTAATAAGCAAGTGCCCTGTTTGTCTGAATGAGGTATAAACTTAGAGGCATGTGCGGTTCAAAGCTGTAAAGAAATTAAGTTAGTTACCATCTTTCCTATGAAAATCAAACAGGACTGAGCACGTCTCAATCTTTCATAGCATTACATCAGACAGCTGTGAAGCAAGCGTCTGCCTTCCCCTCAAAACAGCGACTCTGTGACGTCAGGATCACTCAGTGCTTTAAGCCATTTCACCAGAGCTTGTCCCCGAAGAACGTCTTCTTCAACAGCACCTTAAGGTTCCCTTGATTTTGCTGCATATAAAACTGACTGAGCATTTATTCTCTGTAGTCTTTTAGTGTCAGCTGTTACAGACATGTTGTTGAGATTCTTAATTTGACCTTTTAAATACAATTTAATACAATTCAGTGTGTTTTTGACTGTTTTATGAACAGTTAAAATGTAACTAAACAACCAAAATCCACAGCTAGGTTTGTTTAGTTGCCATCAGGTGCATTACCACCACCTCTCTGGACTAGACTGGTGCTGATCTGCATCTAACCGGAAAAAACCAAGACAGACTGGAATCAGATATGAGATCTGGCCAACAGACATCTGGGTGTGGCCAAGTGTAAATAAGTCTTAGTATCATACCTTTTTAAACACACCCTTTCAACCAGCTGTGTGTGTCATATACTACAATGCAATGTTAGGCTAGTGTATCTTAAGTGTGCAATTTCCTCATATTACAAATAACATCTTAATTTAAAGGCTTTTTTTTCTTACCTTTCATACAACATGAGATAGATGCAGAATTATCAAGATGGAGGCCGTTTACTCTTTAAAAATCTTTAATTTTTCTATTCGCTTTGGATCAAAGAGGTTCTTCAGTGTCTCAGGCCTGAGAAGAGAAGATATTCTCCCTCCAACCTTCTGCTCTGAAGGCTCTGCTCTCACTCAGCAAACATTGCTGACATTTGTAGAAGAAATGGAAGCCGAGAACATAACCCCGTAATATTTCAGTTTCTCCTCTTTGGTAGTCGTCGACAATGACTGACTTTGATTCAGGCAGGTGGGCTGGGCTGATATTTGATACTAGATTGGATACAACTTACTGTGAAAATACTCAATTGATATACCTTGATCAAAAACAAGCTTTGTTCATACAGGGATGTTGAGAGCTCTGTCATTCAGGAACAACTTGCTCAGTTATACACGTTCACATGTGGAAGCTGCCCAGCACAACCACAGGCTTATCTGCCGGCCTCTGAGCAGCTGCACGAGAGCAGCGGTGGTGGTAACCGTCCCCACCCGGATTTATCTTGTCAAACTGGCAACCTTCCTGTCAAGACCCTGTTTCCTAAATCCTGAGGCCACCATGTGAACATCATCCAGTTTGCTACGCAGCTCTAAACTTTACCTCAAAGCCTCATGTCAAGCCCAGAAATATGGATAAACTCTTATCAAATGAATGAAGTAGGTGTAGGCTGGTTTTACTGATCTCTTTTAAAGGCTTTTAAAAGTTTCTTTACCCTATTTGAAGTGTGATGGTTGGTCAGCATCCTCACAACATGAGCTGTACCAGCCTCTATGCTGCAGCTCACATTAAAGGGTTGTGGAAAAAACTGTTAGACACATTTCTATATGTGTCATTCCCTTTTGGGATATAGGTGGTTATATTTAGTTTGGGGTTTTGTCCACTGTGTAATGAAGTCCACGCTGTGTCTGGCCAGGGGACGATAAGCCTTTTTGCAGGGGAGGTAATGTGCAGGCTCAGGGGCTTCCTCATCTCAACCGATTCGGGTCCCACCGAGCCCCTGAGAATACTGATCACTGCTGTGGATGCAAATGAGGGGAACTTTCCTCAAGGTCGAAAAAGATTCATGCAGAGCAAATTAAGTCAGATGACTCCTTGCCCGTAGTGACTTTTTGAATTGCACTGGGCCTGGCAGAAATATGATATATCTTCTGGTTGGTAATGAGAGCATTATTATTTTTTTTTTTAAAGAATACATTTTTCATTACTTTTCTCTCTCCCTATTTGATTTACATCTCCTGTTCTTAAAATTCAGGGATAGGAGATAGTGTCAGTTATGAGATGCATAGATTCCTCAAAAGTTTAAAGCAGCCATATTCTTCATAGTTACTGTATGTACAAAAATGTATTCAAAACAGATCAAATGTTCTCATATAAATGTAAACAAAAGAATGTAAAGCAGCATTGTAATGTAAAATACAATGACTCCACCATTTTACTTAAGTGAACAGAGTCATAATTCAGAAACTTATTTAAAACATATTGAGTATCCAAGTATAAAAAACACCACAGTCACATATTGGCTTTACTGAAGTTACAGGTATGATTCATCTTGTTAAAAGATTGTAACATGGAACATTTACTTAGATGAAAACTGAGAATCCAGATTTTAAATCCTTATTATTGACAAAATGAATGCTCAGAATATCATATACTGTATTCTGTGACTGATTTTAATTTGTGCAACTTTAATCAAACAAGTCCTGTAGTTTTCATCCCTGTCAGTCTAATGATAAGATTTTAAAACTGCACTAATCAATATTTTATATTAACTTTGGGTCAAATTACTATATATAAAGTGCAAGAAGTCATTAGTAGTGACAAAATTAGCAAAGAATTATCACCTGTCTCTGCAGCTCCTATTAGCTCAACTGTGCAATTGAGCATCTTGAATCTGAGCATCTTTTGGATTTCCAGCCTGCAGCTTCAACGTTCTGGTTCACTGTTACTTGTCTCATCCACCTCAGCTCCAACAAAAGCTCTCAAATAAATCTACTCTAAGTTACCTGCCCTGGACCAAACAGCAGACTGACAGAGCTAGTGGTTAGCTGCTGAGCATTTAGCTGCTAAAGAGCCAGAGTTTGGTGGAAACGGAGCGAAACGAAGAGTGGCTATTGGACTTGTCAACTTGACTTGGATTTGTCAGATGGCCAGAAACATGAGTCCAAATAAATGCTAATGTTGCTCTATCTGCTGGGTGTGTAAATGGGCTTTGCTAACACTATTGCCATAAAACATTATAAGATAACATTATCAGTGTTGTGTTCTTACCTTTATACACCATTTGGGAGTTCACCATCATCTGAACCAAATTTTTTTGAAGTTTAAAATGAAGGTGAATGGATGCACTTTTTAATGTCCATTACAATTCATGGCATATATTTCAATAATGACAGTTCATAGCATAGTAAAAGTGTATACACAACAGGAAGTGACAGTGCTTGGCCTAATAGATAATTACTATGGAAGGTCAGGGTAATAATATTAAGATTGACCCTTGTTTTCACTTCTAATTAAATCATTTATATAATATGGCTAAACTGGGATTTGGTGACAACCTAATTAACCTGATGTAAGGCAGAAACATCTCTGACACGACGTTGCAGTTGCCTGAATATAAACCTCACATGTTTACACCAGGTGATTCTTAATTAAGTGACAGGGAGAAAAAATTGCTTTGTTATTTGCTATTCTGGGTTTGTGAATGAAATGTATTTTGATGCAAGCTGCACATTAAACACAGACTGGAGGATTAATAGTATCTTGATGCACCATAACATATATACTGTACTGTATGTTGCATATTATGCACAATACATATTATATACAACATGAAATGATATTCTTATATGCAGAGCTTTTCTAATTTGTTACATTGTCACTTAATTCTCTTAAATTGTCGTGACAGAGGATGACGGGAGTGCTGTGTTTAAAAAATTTAAACGGCCATATTGCTGCTATAAATAGAAGCGAGGCTCCCGCTGGCGTGCAGCACTAACCAGATTAAATCATTATGCATTCACTTTCAGTGATCCTGTACTGTAAACATGCCACACATGGGTTAATTTTCTGTTTTCCATTTGTTCCAGGTCCCATCAGTAGCATACTCGTCAACAAGTACGGCTGCAGGCCCATCGTCATGATGGGGGGTTGCCTGTGTTCCACTGGCATGATCTTAGCTTCCTTCTGCGTCAGCGTGGTGCAGCTTTATATCTGCATAGGAGTTATCGGTGGTAAGTCCTTCTGAATCCACTTAAGTCCAGTTTCAGTTAATTTGATTAGCCTCTGCTTCTAAATAGCAGGTTATAAATAAAACTGTCTAAGCAGGAGGAGCGTTTGTTTTGTTTATTCAGTCTATTTCGGTTTTTGCCTTAGATAAAAAAAGTACAGCATAATAAAAATGATGTGCCAATTTACAACTTACAGTGGGGTTTGGTAAACATCATCTTAAATCTTAAAAATTACCTGGTCCCCTCATCAAAGATGAAATTTCCATAATTGGGCTTCATGTATTCTTATTCTAATATTTCACTCTACTGCCAATACAGTACAACAAAGCATTCCATAACCTATGAGAGCAAACATATAACTGTCTTGTTCAGCACCAAGACTAATTCTATAATAAAACATATTTTCATTAATCAAGCTTTTATGGCATCGTATTGTGATCGATGTGTGCAAAATTCCTTTTGATTACAATAAATTATTTGGAGATGTATCACATAAATGGAAACAATACTCTCAGGTTTAAATTAATTTATTTACTCCCAGACTTTACTTATTTTTGTAATAACTCCACTATCATCACAAGTAAAATCAAAATATGATAATAATAATTTTCATGCATAAGTTGCTGCTAAATGAGAAAAAAAAACACCAAGGTCAGGTTATAAGTGAGATTGGTTTGTTTTAACAAGACTAAGAGTCTGCAGCCATGCTAGCTGCTCTGTGAGGTTGTGCTTAGGCGCAGTGGTGCTTTGAACTAAATGCTAACACTAGTATGCTCGTATGCTCAAATTGACAGTGCTAACATCCAGGTGTTTGTTATTATCCTTTGTTGTTATTGTTATAAGTGCTAATTAGCAAACAGCTTAGGCTGATGGGAATGTCATTAGTTATTAAAATTCTGGAACTTTCGCATTTGGGGCAACGAAGTAGCTTAGAGGTGCACAGTTACTTCTGATGAAGTGATGTTTTCGCTTGGTTTCTGCCTCTAAGTGTTCTTTTTTGTTATTACATTAACAGTTGTAGCATGACTAGCATGAAGTTTTATTTCCCTCTGCCATCTGTCCTCATAGGACTTGGACTAGCCTTCAACCTGCAGCCAGCGCTGACTATGATAGGCAGATACTTCTTCAAGAAACGTCCCATTGCTAATGGGCTGGCGATGGCTGGCAGTCCAGTGTTCCTCAGCACCCTGGCTCCTCTCAACCAATACCTCTTCAACCAGTTTGGCTGGAGAGGCAGTTTCCTCATCCTTGGAGGTTTGTTGTTGAACTGCTGTGTGGCTGGTTCCCTCATGAGGCCTCTGGGACCTCCACCCAGCAAGGCCAAGAAGGACGAAGAGTTGGCTGCCATCGCCACCACAACGAAAGAGAAACGCACTGCCTGGGAAACAGTCAACAAGTACCTAGACTTGACGCTCTTCAAACATCGTGGCTTCCTCATCTACCTATCAGGCAATGTCATCATGTTCCTGGGCTTCTTTGCACCTATTGTATTCCTTGCAGCCTATGCCAAGGACATGGGTGTGGATGAGTACTCTGCTGCTTTCCTGCTCTCAATCCTGGCTTTTGTCGACATGTTTGCCAGGCCGTCCATGGGACTACTGGCCAACTCGCGCTGGATTCGGCCCAAGATCCAGTACTTCTTCAGCTTTGCTGTGTTGTACAATGGGGTGTGCCACATCCTCTGCCCGCTGGTGGAAAGTTACACCGGTTTGGTTGTGTATGCGATCTTCTTCGGCTTTGCCTTTGGCATGGTAAGCTCAGTGTTGTTTGAAACACTGATGGACCTTGTTGGGCCTCAGAGGTTCTCCAGTGCTGTGGGACTCACCACCATTGTGGAGTGCTGCCCGGTGCTCTTTGGTCCACCACTAGCAGGTACGATCTTTCTCTCTAAGAGTATATTTCATTCACTTACATCTATGATTTTAACTGTCTTCACTTTCAAGTGTTCCTGGTTTTGTTGTACATTAATGATGTTTATTCTTATGTAACAATGTGGCACATATCTTTTGTTGCCATTTTAGCTAGGTCTAATTTTGAAAGATGTAATGCATCTCAAAAGAATTATTCTTTAAATAAAAATGAAATTTAATTAAACTTAAAACATTATCAAAGCCTGGTCACAACAGAAAGGTACAGTGCTTTTAAAGAAGAGTAATCGCAGTAGTTAGATGACCAGTTGCTGAGCTAACCACTAAACCTGAACGTTCCCACATTTTGTTTAAGAATCTCATTTATATCATTGTCTTTTCTCATATCTGTCTGAAAACCAGGCCTCTTTTACTGTGGCAGAGGAGGGTAAATAAAAGTGGAGAATTGCAATATAGCTAATAAGTTACAATAGAGCCTCCTGTTTGGGTTCTGTAGCTTTCTGTAGCTGAACTTGTTGTAAAAGATTGGTACAGTATACTTCCCTCCATGAAATCAAATGATTGTGGCAATTTCTACTGAAGTGAATAGATCTCACAACAAGATTTTGCTGTTTTTAAATGTGGATATGACCAGGCCTTTACTCACATATTAATAATTGTCAATAGTTGGAATTGAGAAATGTTTTCTGTAAAATATATCTCAATTCTATGTGGCAACACTTTCAACACGCAGATACTTTAATATTTTTAAATTTTGTGCTGTCTTACAGGGAAACTGGTGGATGTCACAAAAAACTACAAGTACATGTATTTTTGCTGTGGAGCTATTGTGATTGTAGCAAGTATTTGGCTCTTCATTGGAAACTTCATTAACTACAGACTCTTGGAGCGTGAGCGCAAACACGCCGAAATGTACAAACGGACTGAGACAGAAGATCCAGACCAAGTTCAGGATCAGAAGGGGTCTGATGGGGAAGCCCAGGCCTCTGAGGAGCTGGTAAACAGGAAAAATGAGGAACCTATGCAGCGGGAAACCAACATCTAGATCCCTCTGTTCTGCCAACAGCTCACCTTCACCTCCAGAGCAGACCTTGCAACACTTTCAACCACGATCAAACTGAGCTCCCAGCCAAGAGGTGCCTCTGGGTGTTCAACCAGGCTCAACTTGGGGTCCTCTGCACATCTGTAAAACTAACTGCCAAAGTAACACCTGTGTTGTAGGAAGCTGTGAGGAGTAATATCTGTTTGTCAAAGAGCATCCGCTGTGACTATAACAGAAATATTAACCTGAGAGAAAAGTGTAAGATACTGTATGCATGTGAAGAGGCTAAAAGTCAGAAAATGTTTGTGGAAAACAGTGTCGTACTAACTCCATTTTCTTTCTTGCCACGTTCACCTCATATCGGATTTACTGTCAATACAAGACTGCAACTGAGGGACTAATACCTTCACGGCAGATACCTAGTTGTAGTTAGAGACAGGATATGGGATTATCGTTTCTCTAGGAACTCCAAAATTGTGTCAACTGAGAGCAAACAAAGCAGCAAATCCACAGATGTTGGCAAATAATTAGGAAATCGGTCACTCTAAGACAATCAACTCTGCTTAAGAAAAGTATTATCTCTGTTTAGTCGTTTCTGTCCCAACAAGTTAAAATATTCCAAGTAGCAACAAGCGTCATTCTGTCTTTCCTCTGGTGTCTTCCGATATGACGTGAATGCAGCATCAGCGTGTTGCCAATGTTCCAACAGCACCAGCAAACTGAGTTCACAGGTTCAAAATGAGATCTCTTCACAACACACGGAAGTCTTGGTAAAGAAAAACGGTTCAATTAAGAAGAGGACACAGTGAAAGATTTCTTGATGGTAAGAAAGACCTTTCTGTGACTGAAAGGTCACTGGGTAAGAGCCAGTTTTGTACAGCATCGATCCCTAATGGTGCGTTCACACCACAAGCAACATGGTTTACGTGTTGCATTTTTGATGAGTTGACAGAGTGTGGCAAGTTAGAGGCTCTGAATGTACCAACTGTACACTCAGATCAGAGCTAATGCTAGCTAGTGCTAATTCATTAGCATAGAAAATGAACAGATACAGAGTTTCACAGATTAAGCATCAAACTTTAAGATGTCTCATAGTCAAAGACCACAACTTTAAAGCTTTCAATGGTTGGAGTCATCTGCTCCTATTTTAGTCTAATGTTCCTGAATTCACATCGATAGGAAACAGTGGAGGAGCTTGTGATATGACTCGATGCTGGCAGCTGTTGAGAAAATTTAGGTGAGTTTCCCTGGTTGCTCAGCTCTGTAGGAAGCAAAAAACTTCTTATGACTTGTCGGATGTGTTGCTTGCGCTGTGAATACAGCGTTAGCAATGTCAGTGCACTGGAAATGGTTGATCCATGCGGCGATACGTGTGGAGCAAGAATGCAAAATCCTAATTGCAGTGTTTCATATGGCAGTCAAGTGTGCTAAAATTCCCACTTCCATAAATAAAAAACAGATGTGTTCACAGCTGGTGACGCTGGTGCCCACGTATTATGCTGCCCACCTGAGCACTGTAACATTGTGTAGTAAAAAGCTGCACCAATGTACCACTTTAATACTTTCTATTAAGTCATTAAATGGAAGTTGTCACATGCTCCATATTGCACTCATATACAGTATGCTGCATTAAAAGAGAAATGGCCATACTTCTCCCCAAACATCTTTGTAAAACTGCTGCAATTCAATACATTTAATTATGGTTGAATGTAATTTCCTCTGTGGGCCTTAATAAGGTATTAATGACCAAAAGCCATCTGCATAATAGTGGTTTTACTACACAAACAGCCCCATGAGCAACATACTCTCTCATATTTAAATGCAGATATACAGGGAAATGTATTTCTTGTGGTGAGTTTAACAGTCCCTTCTATTATACATTGCCTTAAATGTGATGTAATGTGGCGACAGTTGTACAGTGAATACTTGATAGTATTATATGAAGCTGATACACCTTTGTGTTAAATGTGACCCACTTCTTTTGCTGTTAACTTAACAAGAAATCAATGTAATCTGCTCCATTTGTCTCCTAACATGTACTGAAACATTAAAATAATGAGATGCTGTTGTTCTATGTACTCTCTCCATTAACTAACATCTGAAGGAATAGTACTGATACTAATGAATGCTAATCAAGTCCACTTGTATTGTCGTATTGTGTGCATTTACATGTAATGGGTGAACATATCATGTAACAGTTTGTCTATCGCTATAAATGTCAATATTGTTCAATATTCTGTCCATTCCACATGTTAATTTTTGTATATGTCACCCTACTATAACCTGAAGCTAAGCGCTGACCAAATGGTGTCCTGTCTCAGATGTCCTAACAAAGCCTGACACATTTTAATAACAAATGCTGTTTTGTTTTTTGTTTTTCAAACCAATCATGAATGAAAAAAAAAGTTGTCTTTTTTTCATCCTGCATTCAATGGTTGAATGTGTATTCAGACTTATGAAAATAGATTTCCAGCTGTGCAGCAGTGGCTCTCAACAATGTACCATCTTTACCCAAGACACCAAGTCACAGAGGAAATGCTCTGAATGAGATCAATCAGATTTATCCTCTGAGGGTATCAATGGACCACTATTGAGAGAAACTGCTCTGCTATTTACTGTTAATGAGATCACTTTGAAAGATTTTCACAGTATTGTGTTCTTAGTTTTCTGAAACACTTGATCTGAGCTTGCTTTTGGACCTGGACTAGGTCTCAAATATATTTCCATACGGAGATGAGCCAGTCTGTTTTGAAGCAGCCCCAACAACATATAAACATACCCAGGTTGTCATTACTTTATTAGGCCTTATTTGTTGAGGATACCGCTCATTAGACAGTGACTTAATCTGTTCATGTAGCTACGTAAACTCCCAAGATGCACTTTGGTCACCAGCATTTCATGCTGATATTAGTATTTTCATGTATTACCATGTCTGTACCTTCCTAATGAATAGCATTAATACCTTATGAATGTTGACTTATCCTGCTTGCACTTAATTAGTGGAAAGAGGGACTACTTTAATTCACTATGCTCACTGTGCATGATGACTCTCAATGAGGGAAACAGACTGCTGTACAATCACTTTCTACCAAATAACGCTGCCCCCTGCTGGTGTAAAAGCCACCTAGACCAAAAGGTAAAGCCAAGCTTACCTTTCAACACACTAGTTTTCATAGATTATTTTTTGTCAAGCCCATATAAGGTTTCAGTTTCATGGGTAATGTAAATGCATCTGTGCTTTATTTTTTATTTTTTATTTTATTTTATTTTTTTGGTGGGGGTATTGTCAGTATGAATATACTTTCTTGGTATTTATAATGTTAAAGTACACAAGTAGAACAAAACACAACCCTGTAATGCTTTGATGGAACTAAGGGGAATATCACTGAATTTGAACATTTGTTTTTCAAGCCATGCAGTTTTGTTTTTCTCTATAATCAGTAATAAGAACAGAGTAAAAAGAGTGGGTTATTCCTTTTGCAGATAAGAGTAGAAATAACAGCAGTGGTCCAGGGAGCATATAGTCCGACATCTGCAACGGTTCAAAGCAGCGGTTCCCAACCTGGGTGTCAGAACCCCAAAACGGGTGGCTGGATAAACCTAAGGGGTCATGAGATAATTAACACAATGAGAGAGAATCACGAACAGGCTGTTTTTTTCTGTAATTGCTATTTTCTTTTGAAATACTGGATAGTTTATCTCCTGAGGCCTCTAAAAAAAATATTTGCATTTCAGAATCTGTATACCATATACAATTTGTGTGTCATAAGTAAATTTGTTTTATTTTGAAGGGACATAAATCAAAAGGTTGGGAACTGCTACTTTAGAGGTCCCTAACATCCCCCATGTCATTTGTTGTTTCTACATGGGACATCACATGACATACAGTAAATTTTGTGGTATTCTCCTTATTATACATTGTACTGTAAAACCATGAAGTGTTTGTCCAAATCTAAGCAATACATTTGTATGTATTTTGGTACAAAATGTTTATTGTAAGAAGAAAAGGAAATATGTTATAATAATTGAATCCAAATAGAGATAAGAGTGGATTTAACATGCACCAATAGCCTTATTAATTCTATTGCTTAGGATCGCATATATTTTGTTTCTTCTCTTTTTATAGAGATAACTGTATTTAGAAAGCTTTTGATTTTGATGATGGCTTAAGACCAAATTTAGCAGAGAGGTTAAAATTAATTAATTTATTTACTATTAATGTTTCTGTGAACACACATAACTTTTATTTAAAAAGGAAATGTATGTTCACTGGCTGAAAATTGTTGTATTAATTGATATATAGCTTGACTGTTTTTTTTGTTGTTGTTTGTTTATTTTATGATGTGTGGAACCGATACACAGAACGTTAAAGGATTTAAAGTTTGTAAGGGCCTGAAAGAGATTGGAAGAGATGTTTGTTTTGGATACATGCAAAATATTAAGTGAAAACGTGGCATAGTGCCACCATTTCTGTTTTTCAGGGTTGTCTTGGAAAGCACTTAGCAGCTGACACTCTCAGCGTCTGACTGAGTTTAGCTGATAGAAATGACAGATTGGAGTTTCAAACATTCATACAGTTTTAGTCATGAAGGAGACATCGTGATTGGTTGAGTTTATCATTGAAGAAAAAAGCTAAGAAAACACAGTTCTTGTAAACTCAATGGAAAAAAAGTGATGTGTCTTAGAGACATTAATTTAAATTATGCTCTGATTTTCAGCTTGTTTGAATTATGTGTTGTTTTTAAAATCTCTCCCCGCTGAGTCAGTGCGATAATTTCTGCCTCTGTAAAGTGTTTGAACTCAAGTTAAGTAGAACGAAATTCCAGTCTGCAGGATGAAATCCTCCAGCATATACGAGACTTTCATTTCTTCTCGTCCATGTGGGGAGAGGATCAGTGTTGGTGTTGACTGTATACAAGGTGTTTTGCTACTGGAAGGCTGTAGGACTGTCAATAACACCTCTGGCTGTTAAGCTAACTGTGCCTTACTGTGCTACACTGACCATTATAAAAAGCTCTTTGAGAACACAGGAAACTTGATATTGTGTTGCTCAAACATATAAGCTCATTAGTTTGTCCTTGCTCCTACTCATCTGTATGTTTACAAATCACTGCACTCTCTCATTTTATGTAAATAATCAACGTGTGTAGCTACCAATCCAGAATCCACTTGTGTCTGCGTCTTCACACATTAACACATAAGAACAAATAAGCTGTAAGAATGTGTAACACCATATGTAGTCTAATTATTACTAAATTGTTATGTCTTTGGTGCATTTACTGTATATTGTGTTCATCGGACTTTGTACACATAGTTAAGGATGCAAATATTTCTGTGTGAACACATTTGAGGACGGTCGTGTTCACATGTTTGGACCTCCATACTGTAGTTTGTCTCAGAAGTGAACTCAGTCCATTATGTCCTTCCAGTAGCAGACGTACTGTGTGCTTTCTCATCAGGGCAACTCTACTATATTAGAGTAGAGGCATTAAAGCAATTTTTCAGATTGTGTCAGTCTTTCCACTACCTCTGCAGCCGTCATGTCAGAACGAGGAAAAGTACCACACGGGTATAGAAAACTGATATGTTTTTTTGTAATTGTAATATGAAAATATCACCTATCACAGTAGTAAATAAATAAAGTATATATCCAAACAAGCCTTTGCCACATGACTGTTTCTAAATTTATAGTTTGACTGGTGTTTTATGTCTTAAATTTGAACCAAGTTAACATCTTGTCCCCCTGCTCAGTATATAAAACATGATTTCATCATCTTTCATCTGAGTTGTACTGTCGAGGGGAATATTATACACATTATACACATATTAGTGTGATTACAAGAATAAATGGAAAATTAAACAAGTAAAATACCCAAAGAAAAATATTCAATATGGTTTTTGTGGTCAACTTGAAATGTCTACTAAACTGACCATGTTCAATCAATTGCTTTCAACAGTTGCTTATAAACACATACACACCAACATTACCATTCATTAGGACTTTGTGTTTTTGGGCATCAGAATATTTGTACAATTTACACTATTTAAATTATTTATTTATACAATATCTACTCTACCTTTAGCTCTGTTTTTGTCTCCACCAACCCCTGACAAAAAGAAATGCTACCACTAGCCAGTGCAGTGGAGCTAGCTAGTTGCAAACTGTATCTGTGTGTTGTGTAGTGCTGGGCTTTTCATGTACAGTGGGTTTATTGGTGCGTTTTTACTGAAAACAGCTGCCTACTGCGTCTGGAAATGACTTTAACGAGAGCGGTGAGATTGACTCAAAACAGTAGTTGTTGTGGCCCATAAACCAACACAATGAGCTTAAAGACGCTAAAACTCTCATTAAAGCTGAGCAGTGATGCAGAGGTGGGTTAGGGGTGATAATGCTTTCTGGGTTTATGTGAACACTTTAGTTACACATAATCATTAGAGCCACTGTAGATAGAGATATATTGAATTGTGCAGCTTTAATTTTAATAGAAATGTAGAATTTGTATTTTATTGTTACTGTTGTGTATTTGTGGTTGATTCTACCACAGGGGGAAGCCAAAGTTGGACATTTTCAAATTCTAGTGGTGGCTTTAATTAAGATTGGTTACAGTTAGGATTTTAAAATCCCACAGAGGTACTTTATGGCTACACAGACAACAAGCCAGAGAGCCTGATCCAGACACACTGTATACATCTCTACTCAAGCAAATAATTACAGTGATACACTATAGACCATTGTGGCACACCACAGAATAAATCTGGCCAATCTGCCCACAGAATTTCAAGCCTCACAGGTTTTTTGAAATAGCTGGCTGATGGAGAGGCAAACAAACAAACCACCAAATAAAAACAGAAGTTCCATGGTGCAGATAATGATCTTTTAGCAAGTCAGCACAAAGCATGATCATTATCTCTGTGTGTGTTTCCATTAACAGTCAGCACACGAGATCACCTGGATGGGACCAGCAGCTCTCATTACACTCAAAGTGCAACTCCTCCTGCTCTCTTCCTGCATCAAACCCACTAATAATTAAGCACCAGTCTGTCATTAATTCTGCCTGGCGTTCAATCCCAGCCCATATTTTAAAGATGCAAAGCAGACCACCACCACCACCGCCCCTCCCCTGTTTCTCATTAGTATGCAATGCTTTGGCGGAGCTGTGCGTGCCGATGATTGCTGGAGACCCTCAGGCAGAGTTTGAGGCTTGATTTTAATGGGACGGTGAGGGTCAACAGAGAGGAGAGAACAATGAGCCTCTCCAGTTCCCTGTGATCGGCGTTTCAGCAGGACCGGGCACCCTGTGGGGGGTGGGGGTGGGGGACCTGTTGGGGTTTGAATGCAGAAGAAGTTGACCTTCAAAACAGTGTCAAACTCTATTCCCTGTAAAGCTGCTGAGTTTCATGGCGGCTGCCTTTGATTCCTGGCAGTTGGCAGTGGTCCGTTGCATTGGCATCCAGGCCGACCACACTTCACTAACAATGTTGTGATGGTAGGTTAAATACTGAAGGGATGCCGGCGGCTCAGTGGAGATGTTAAAATTCTTTTGATGTGGCAGTGAGCTGGTAAAAACATTACAATTACCTGCCTCCAATAGCTTTTATTCCTCTGATTTCCTGTCACAGGTGCTGCCTGAACATGAAAACAGAACTATATCTTTTTTTATATATATATATATATATATACTGGAGGTGTAGCATCTTAAGATTCTTCTTGCTTTTTCTAACTATTCAGATTAAAATAGGCTAAAACTGTGAGTAGGGCTTGTAAAGGGCGTGTTTTGTCTGACAGCATCTGAAACCACCTTCCTTCATAACTCTGAAATGTGATTCTTCCAGGACTGACAAGAGCAATAACCCTAAAACTGTTCTTGTTGAAGAGAGGAAGAAGGCATACAGTAAACAATAACAGCAACACTTGGAATGACAGCATGCAGCAAAACCTAGAAGCAGGAGAGACACCAATGGAGCTAAGAAGGGAGAAACTTGCACTTGCTTATTTAGTCAGGTTAAAGGGAAGTGGGAAAGAAAATCCTGCTAAAGAAACAGAGTTCACCAGGTGTTCCCCAGTCATTAACATTCCCCCATGGTTTTACCCAGAGGTAACGATAAACATGAGTATTCTAGAAAAGAAAAAAGAATGGGGACTGAATGGAGTGGGAGTTGAAACAAACATTTACCTGAGGAATAATTACTAAAACTACCTCAAGATATACACGGATCCAAGAACAAGCAAGAATGTATAGGAATTGGTGTGCATGTCTCAGAATTTAATATATCCATCTCTGTGCATAGACTCAATAGACGTTCTGGAAAGCATACAATCAATAACATCTGTAAGAGAAGATCTGATCATTGAACTTTATCATAGTTTGCTAAGACTTCACAGTGGTGGTATTGATGTTCAGTTCTGTTGGGTGCCAGCACATGAAGGGGTGAAAGGGAATGAGTGTGCAGATAGATTGGCAAAAAAAAAAAAGCATCGCTAATGGAAATAGCAGTGCCAGTTCCACTTGGAAAAAGAGAGGAAAAAGCTGTGATTAAGAAGAAAAGAAATGGAGGTATGGCAGAAAAGGTGGGAGAAAGACCAGGGGCTTATCACAAAATTCAAAAGTCATAACAAAGAACTATGAAGAAAGGAACAGAAGGGAGGAAATCATTATAACAAGACTCAGATTAGATCACACTGGATGAAATGGCACTGTATTTGTTTTGGGTCAAAGGAACATGGACAAGTGTGGGGATTGTGGTGGTAAACAAAACGTTGAGCACATTATAATAAACTGTACAAAATATGACACAGGAGTGTAATTTGGCAGGACAGGAAGAGGGGGTGAGAGACACCAGAAAGGAACTCTTTACTTTCTTAAATAATACTATGTTGGTGGGTAGAATTTAAGAGCTGATATGATGTTGCACACTCTTGTACAGTAGGTGGCAGTATGCACCTTAAGGTTGTTTGCATCCGGCAGTAAACTCAGAGAAGTAGAAGAAGAAGAAGAAGAAGATGAAAAAGAAGATGAAGAAGAAGATGGCAGGAAATGCAGGTGCAGCAACAGGTCGGCGGCGACTTGTGGATAAAAACACACCATGGCAGGTGAATGTATGTATGGTGTAGATATTTTGTATTTGACACGGATCATCAGGGATAAGTTAATGACAACGAAAAGCCAGTATGCAAACAGTCCCGCAGGAGGAAACACCTCCAACTTCTCTAAGCAGCTCAAAGCAGGACATCTGCATCTGTACACAGAATTCAGGGTGAGTGAGTTTCAGTTGTTAATTTTATATTAACAACATGTCCCCAACACGTTCATGTCCTGAAATGTTACTGTTTGTTTGTGAATTGTGACAGTTGACATCTGTTGTAGCAATGTTCCACACACACAATGGCTTTACAATAGCTATCTATCTTGTTTAGGCTAACGTTGGCTTGTTTAGGCTATCATTATCTTGTTTAGGCTAACGTTAGCTTGTTTAGGCTAACATAGCGACAGCTCATAACATGAGCTGCATGCTCACAATAGCAGACTACGGTCCTCACTGTTCAGTCTGTTAAAATATGACGCTGACTTTATAAATTAACATTTTCACACCATGGGTCTGTCACCTTGTTAGTCCGTGTAAGCTACTGCTTGCACACTGACTATATGGAGGTGTGTGCGTGTGTGTTAGCACACCGTGGGCAGCAGCCTCTGTTGTTTTCTGTTTTTTGCTGTGGTATTGATAATGACAACCAAAATTCAGGTGTCATGACATCCCTAGTCACTACAGTGAATTAGTTAATTTCAAACATTTCCTGGCCTTTTAATAATGCTGTTTTGGATGCATTTGTCACATCTAATCGTTGTTTCAACCTCATTTCATAGTGTATTTTTGACATGATACTCAATGACATAGCCTACTATCTAAAAACTGAGCTAAATTGTACCTTTAACATCTCAACTTGTTTTCTTGCTGAGAGGGGATGAGCAGATTAATACTGCTCACACCTGTCTGTTAAATCTGAGGCTGCAGCCAGCAGCAGTTAGCTTTGCTTATCATTAGGACTGGACACAGGGAAACCTGTAACTTGAGTGTGTGAACTATTTCCTGGCCAGGTGCAGTGAATGTCTGCTTTCTCATTAATCTGCAAATCAGTTTTCACTTTTTCTGTAAGGCAAGAATACTTGACATGCTGCAAAAGTGCAGGTTCCAGTCTGTTTCTGTGTATCAGCGCTCATTGAAGGGCTCCCTTCATATCAGAGGTGGATATCCAACATGTACAAAGCCAAAACTGTCTGCTTCTAGTATTACAGAATATGTACTGAAGCTATAGCAGAGGATAATTTGACCTGGTAGAAAGCTGCTCTCCAAGCATCATTTTTGAAACCCTGTTATCGCTCTGCACACAGTGAATGTCCAAATGAAACCAATAAACGGCGGCCCGAGGCGTTCTGACCCAAACTGGACCTCAAAACCGTCATGCCCAAAAG